CTCAGAATTATATTTCTAGGCTAGACCTTGCTCCTGAACTCTAGAATTCTCAAACTGCCTCCTCAGCGGTTGCACTTGATTGTCTCATAACACTTTCCAAATTTAGCAGGTTGATCCTGAGTTCCCCAAATCTGTTACTCTTGAAGTTTCCCCTAGTTAATAATGATACTTCCATTCTTTCAACACTAAATCATACCATGCACATACATGAATGTCCTTAAAAGTCCCTGGGGGTCATCCAGCATTGTTCAGGCTCTCCATGACCTGTACATTGCCACTGCTCTGGTTTTTTGCCTCTCATTCTCTCCCCTAGTTCATTCTGCCCCAGCCACATCTGTCCCCATGCTAGGGGGACCTTTACATTTGTCACTGCCAGTTTCTTGGAAGCTCTGCCCCAGATGTCTACATGATTCCCTCTTCTATTTCCTTAGACATCATCCTCTCACTGGGACCTTCCATTGCCACCTGAGCTTAAATTGCAAGGCTGCCTTATGTACACTTCTAGCTTCCTTCCTTGCCTTATTATTGGCTTAATGGCTTATCACAAGCACACCATATATTTTGCTAATTTATTTTGATTATCATAAAGGTCTTCTACTGAGGATATTTTTACTCACTGTTACATCCCCAGCACTTTGAACAGTGGCTGTCACAGACTAGGCTCTCAAAAAATATTAGTTCAATGAATGAAAGCAATTAGTGATAATAAGAGCTATCTTTTAAGTACATAGAAAGTAAATGAGATAAGTACTTAGTGCATGTTAATGCACAATAAAGGTAGGCTATTTGCATTTATATAATATGCCCATAGGTATCGGTTAGAAATAATTTTTAAGTGGGAACTATGGGAAGGGAAAGAGAAATTCTAGTTAGAAGGGAAGGTATGGAAGCACACGGTTTCACAAGTCAGCTTCAGGCAAAGTAGACAGCTAATGGAAACGCCTGGAATTTGGTTCTGATGGGCTGCACTCAGGCCTGCCTAAGGGTGAGGAGATGAGGGAAGAAGGGGGTGGAAGGTAGGCTGGGACTTGTGTGAGTGGGCTCATAGGGTCTGTGTATTGTGCTCTGGATGTCTTGGGTGCGAACACTGGGTGCCCATGTCCTTCCTGAGTATCCCTGCAATGCTTAAAGTAAGTCTGGGCAGGAGGGCAGGGCTTGCAGGTCTGCCCATCTCTAGGACTAGAAGTGCACATCCGAAAGCAATGAACCACTGCACACTGGGGAAACGGACTGCCACATGTGTTCATCTGCTGTTTGGCAGAATGCTTTGCTGTTTCAGATTTAAATCTTTGTTGTGGGTAATAGTATCACAGCGTCTCTATTATGCTGCTTTTTTACCTCACACATAGTTTTTTTTTAATATGTTGGAGCAAAAATTAATTCATCTACATCTAGAGGGTCCTGATAATTTGCAAAATGTATTTTCAAGTAAAAATATACTTTTAAGGAGGCACTCTATAATTCTTGAAGCTATAAAGGATATATAATTATCAATAGGTTTTAGATCCAGATAGACATAGTTGATTAGCTGGTGTGAGACACATTTGATGAATAAAATCCCTCTGTAAATTATATCACTTGTATTTTACAACACAAAGTTCACTTACAAAGATTTTCCCTAGACTTCACTAACTGACTTCATAGCTCGTCATGGGAAGAGAGGCAAAGAGATTGTGTAATTGCAGATTCTCCTGTAGACAGCATGGACCCAATGTAGGAAGATGCACAGGTAGATACTGTGTCTGGCAGCCATGGGATGTTTTCCAAGCCTTTCCTAGTTTGAGAAAGTGCATAGTAGCAGTCTCTATGTTCTATGCCTCAGCATTTCTCTACAATTTGTAGTTGGTTTCCCATGTGCCATTTGAACTCTACTTGCCACACTGGTGTAGATGTGACCAAGGGTCTCTTCTCTATTTATTTCAAAGTGCTGACCTTAGCTTCTATATTATGGAGAATGCGCTATATATGTAGATATATGTACAGATATGCATGTATATATAAATATGTATACTGCTATGTATGCATATGAGAGGACAAAGAAATAAGAAACATACAGATCTGAGTCAGAACAGCAATGAGGAAAGAGTTATCCTTCATTATTCTCCGAGTTACCACGTTCCAGGTGCCCAGGAAAGAAGCCTGTAGGGCAAACAGGGAATGGGGTAGGCATTGAAGAAGGAACTTGTAAAAATATGCTCCCTTAAATGATAGTGCTATCCAATGGATCCTGGCAGCCCATCAGAGAGTTCTTGTCAAGCCATTCAGAGGGAGAACAGAAGGCTGTGGGGCACTGATTTTGGTTTGTCTCCCCTAGGTGCTGGCTGCTGTCTCACCATGAGATGAGTTGTCTTTGAAGTTCTGCAGAGCAGTCTAGAGAGCATGACTTAAAAGTGCTAGTCCCTAAACAGGGTTCAGCTTCCCAGAATACAAATGCTCAGAAAACCAAAAGAGGCCAGGAAAAAGCAGCCCAAGACAGTTCCCTGTAAGCCCTGGAGAATACTAGTTGTCTCTGTAATTAAAAGGATCCTAGAAGATTCTATATTAAAGATTTCTGGGTATTGGCATCAGTTTTTTAAAAAAAATATTTATCTATTTACTTAAAATTTAGCGTTACACACAGAGAGAAGAGAGAGAGAGAAAGAGAGAGAGAAAGAGAGAGAGGTCTTCCATCCACTGGTTCACTCCCCAAATGGCCGCAACAGCTGGCGCGGCACTGATCTGAAGACAGGAGCCAGGAGCTTCTTCTGGCTTTCCCATGTGGGTGTAGGGGCCCAAGGACTTGGGCCATCTTCTACTGCTTTCCCAGGTCATAGCAGAGAGCTGGATCAGAAGTGGAGCAGCTGGGACTTGAACTGGTGCCCATATGGGATGCTGGCACTGTAGGTGGCGGCATTACCCGCTATGCCACAGCGTCAGCCTTGTGGTATCAGTTTTTAGGGTTTGTTTTTGTTTTATTCAATGGGGTTTAAAGTTTCTGTAGTTGCTTTTTGTGATTCTCTGAAGCCATCTGACATGATGGGCAGAGGGGAAGGGTGATTGTGCAGAGTGTCTGGGCAGATGGAGGTAGGGTCAGAGCCAGCTGAACTTGGCGCATGACAAAGAGAGGGATGAAAGCAATAGCTACTTTAGAAAGCTTTAAAGCCAGCCTTCAAGAGCTCCTAGCTAAGAATTCTTGGCTGTGTCCAGGTTTTGCTCTGGTGTCACTTTCGCTTTCTCCACCCCACTGCCCGAATATCACATCACATGTTCTCAGCACTGTTGGACATATTATAGGAGCCTCTCTACCTGCATTCACATTTTGGGATAACTTTCACCATCCAGTACAATTCTTCATCACTCCATATATCTACGCTTCCTTGCCCTATAACTTTGCAGTGCTCTCCCAATGGGTCACAGGCTTAACTAGCCTCTAAGCTTTGGGATTGAGTCATAGATTTAGATATTTAGGATACGTGATACAAGCAGAGGCTTGTTCTTCTGTTAGGGGAATAAGGACAGACACATGGTATTGGTAAAGGCGCCCCAGCCAAGCCTACCCTAGAATAAAGCCCACAGTAAACACACAGATACTTGAATGAGATCAGTTATACTCAGCTCAAAAGTGCTTGACCTTGCAGGTATATGATACGTAAGTACGTACTGTTGGGTTCCATTGTAATTGTGTGATTCTTTATTATACAGCAAAAGCTAACTGATACAAATGCCATTCTCTCCATGATTCCATGGCTACTGGAGTGATATTTCTAAAACAGTACTTCTAAGACCCCTCAATAATTTCTTGTATTGAGCCAAATTGTGTCCTCCACCCCATCTCTCCAATTTATATTTTGAAGTCCTAACCCTTAGTACCTCAGAATGTGACTTTTTTTGAGAAATGGAGTTATTCCTAATGTAATTAGTTAAGATGAAATCATAGTGGAGTGGGGTGGGCCCCTAACCTAACATGGCTGGTGTCTTATTAAAAAGGGGAGCATTTGGAGATGGCCACACAAGAAGTGAGCATGTGGGAACATGAAAGCAGAGATCAGGATGATATGTGTGCAATCCAAAGAACACCACAAATTGGCAGAAATCTGAGAGTAAAATAGAACAGATTATCCCTCGCAGCCCTTAGAAGGAATTGATCCTGCCAATAAGCTGATCTTAGACTTCTGGCTTCCAGAACTGGGAGACAATACATTTCTTCATTACCTTTAGGATAAAGTCTAAATTTCTCCACGAGGTACATACGTCCTTCCTAAGTTGGTCCACGGCTGTTATGCATGGTCCTGCGCTTTCTTCCCTCACTGTAGCCCATGTGCTTACCCCCTCCACTAGCCACACTGAACTATTTACAGAGCTTCAGTCAACCACTGAAGAGACTTGGTCAGTGTTGATCCCTTGACCTCCAAATGCATTTTCTGCCGTCTTCCATCGCCCACTAGACCCAAATCTTCACCTAGTTAACTTCCACTTGCAGTTCATCCTCCAGATTGGACATCATCTCTGGAAACATTCTCTTGACCTCCCCAATCCAAAATCTGAAACACCGCTCCACTAAATGCTCCCACATACTCTGCTCAGATATTTGCACTACAGTACTAACACACTGTGACTGTGGTTCATTACACAACTACACATCTATCTTCTCATCAATGAACTCTCAAAGGTTGGGTCATATGCAACCTGTCTTTGTATTCTTGGTACCTTGCACAGTGCTTGGCCCTGAGTTGCTGCAGAGCAAGTGTTTATGGGAGGAATATATATATATATATATATGTATGTGTGTGTGTGTGTGTGTGTGTTCATGGGAAAATATCCAAGCAAATGTGTTCTTGGTATAAGGGGGAAGCTTTCTGCTTGGGTAACAACTGGCAGTTGAGTTTGCTTGGAAGCAAAAGTACCCAATTAAAGACCAAACATCACTTCCTGACTCCTCCTCATTTCCTCCTCTCTCTATAAACTACCCCATCTTACATGCTTTATAATGCTTTTAGATGTAAGTGACGGTGAATTGTTACTGACAGTAGGCCTTTCATCTTCAAGACTGACAGTCCACGGTCCACATCTCTCAGGAGGGACTGTTATAACTATATTTTTGCTTACCAAGAGAATTGTTAATGGTTATCCTGGAGGGAAAAAAAATCTATAAATATCCAACCCATAATGAAGCCTTAAGCTTACTTTCTCCCTTTATGAAAGAGATTCTTTCCAAGTACACTGCCAGAATCACTACATAGCCATAACACCGAGAAAAGAGAGCTTTTACCTGTTTAGTCCTCATCTTGGAATCCGACGACAGATTGTTATAGGTATAATGAGCCTGTGTGACTCCGCAGAAGAGAACAGCGACTATCCCTGAAATTCAAAAACAGGGCAGTTAAAACCAGTTCCCTTTCTCATGGATGTCAAAGGCTATGGCTCTATGGCTCTCCCCATTGGAAAACAGACTTGGTATCAGTAGAATTAAAACTGCTGGTAATTATTATAAGGACACCTGGCTAAATCTTGCTACTTCCTTTAAACAGGGATCTCAGGGCTAAACATAAAGAAAAGCAGAAGTAGGTTCTTGAGAAAATGAGTAGATTCTTCCTGGATAGAAACCATTCCCTGGTGCTGGGTTAGGAAAGTTGTACTTGGAAACATATGCTTATTTCTTTTTTTATTTCTTTTTATTTATTTATTTATTTTTTGACAGGCAGAGTAGACAGTGAGAGACAGAGAGAAAGGTCTTCCTTTGCTGTTGATTCACCCCGCAATGGCCACTGTGGCCAGCGCACCGCGCTGATCTGAAGGCAGCAGCCACGTGCCTCTTCTGGTCTCCCATGGGGTGCAGGGCTCAAGGACTTGGGCCATCCTCCACTGCACTCCCCGGCCACAGCAGAGAGCTGGCCTGGAAGAGGGGCAACTGGGACAGAATCCAGCGCCCCGACTGGGACTAGAACCTGGTGTGCCAGCGCCGCAGGCGGAGGATTAGCCTATTGAGCCGCCGTGCCGACCAGACTTGGAAACATATGAACAAAACACTGTATGGTCAACTCTGGGTTTCCCACAGCTAGTGTCAATGACTTTGCTGCGTGTTATCCTAAATATTGGCATATTTGCTCAACACATTTGCTTCCTCCTATGTACCTTGGAGAGCCTGAACCGGCTTAGTACTAAGTTGTCATACCACCACTTAGCACTAAGTGTCATGATTCACACATCCAGGCCATCTACAAGGGTTTTGTTGCTCCTGCCAGTGGTCTCCTTTGCCAACGAGAAAGGGAAGTCCTTGTTTGCTCCCATGCCTCCTTCGCAAAGCTTAGTGCTTGGTCTTTGTGCAGCATACCCAAGACACACACTCCTGGAAGGGAAGCGGCTCTGCTCTTGTGTTCTTCCTACCAACAGTGGGCTCTTGGCTGCTCCTTGTCCTGCTACAGGATTTATTTCTGAAGCCACACTGTTCCCAGCTCTAAAAGCTCCATAAAGTCACAAATAACACTAGATGCTCTCTGTGGGTACAGGAATAGCATCCATGGGGCAAATGCATTATTTGTCCCTGGGCTCTGTTTTATTCTGTGTTATTGTCTCTGGGTAAGGGTGGAAAAGTGGTGGAAGCTACAGTCTACTTTGGTTTTAAAGATTAGATTAATTATGGGAAATTGGGCATAATGGAGGGCTTTGGGAAAAGTGCACAATATAAGTATTTCTCAACTCAGATCAAGGGGATTGAATTGAATTTTAAGCAGCAGTCTCTTTCCAACTAAAAACACTCATAAATTAAATGCTGATGATTCTTAAGAGTATAGAGATATGTGAACTGAATACTGACATTTCAAATGAATCTGCAATAAAAAATTTTAGAGACTTGAGCTTATCTTTTTTATATGTAGACTATATGCCTCTATTTTCACGTGGTTGTATTTCAGGTTGGCACTGGATAAAATATCACTAAGACATATCTACATAATACAAGTACATAAACATTTACAGAACTTATTTCATTTTAATATAACACTATAAATTTTAAATAAAAGGATAAAAACAAGTAGGAAACTTTGCCAAGAAATACACATTCGGTGAAATTTTTGACAGATTTTTGGATAACTTTTTAGTTCCTTAGCATTTCTTCAAAAATTCTAAGAAAAAAAGTGATTACAAAATACTATTTTTCACTCTTCACAGAATTATTGTTATAAAAACAATGACAAGCAGGGGAAGTTTTAGGATGTTGAAGCACCTTCAGTACTTTGAGGCACTGGAAGTATTGTAATATAGATTGTTTTGGTATCAAGTGTTTCTCTTTATTTAAGAATGTAATTTACCTGTTCTTGTGAGACTGTAGTCTGCTGGGGTTTCTGGGTGATGGCTAGCTAGTCACACTGCTCTGGGGGACCATTTTAGCTTAATCTTGGATAAAAGGGCAGCTGTGTGTGGGTAGTGAATAAATCCAAAGAATAAATAACAAAGAAGTGTTACAAGGCATGTCGCTCCCCCTCTTCGTGGAGGAGCGACACTAAACCCTGCCTAGGCTTCATATCCGAGTCACGGCACCATTATGTCGCTCCCCCTCTTCGTGGAGGAACGACACAGGACCCTGCGCTGTTCTTTCGTCTGCTCGGCCCTCCCCGGGTTTGCTGCTGGTTCTTCCCGGGTTGGCTACTATCCCTTCCACCTCCGTGGAAGGGCAGTTCCCCCTGCCACATTCCCCACTTCCGCAGGGGAGCGGCACACCGCCGGCCAGCTCTCTCGGGGGCTGCACAGGTGTTCCTTCAGATAGATGTTCCCCTTAGATGTTCCCGGTGCATGCCGTCTCTCTCCTCCTTTATAGTCCTCCTCCGCCAATCCTAACTCGGCTGCCCACACGCCGAGTACGCTGCTCTCCAATCAGGAGCAAGTCCTACAGTTTATTAGCTGAACTGGAGGCAGCTGTGCGGAAGCTGTTTACTTCTCTCCCAGCGCCATATTGTGGGAGAGCAGATGCATAGAATAAGTCTTAATTTCAGTAACTTAGTCCAGTCCGGATTGCTCCCCACAAAGGCATAGCGAAGGGATTAAGATCAATTGGCCACCTCCTGTGGACCAAGAATCATGCTAGCTTCATTTCCATTTTCTTTTTATTGCACTGATTTATTATCTCATAACAGCCTACAGTAACTGGGTAGCCCTTCCCCCTGACTTCCTCTTTTCAGTAATGGTATTTCCATTCTTCCTGCTGCTCAGGCCAAAACTTTGGGATCACCCTTTACTTCTCCTCTCACTGTACAACGGCAACCTTGTTGCCTTGTTCTTCAAGACTTACTCTGAATCCAACACCCTGCTCAGGCCCTCCTCCCCAGTATCTTTCATCCAATCCATTATCATAGCTTCCCAAGTGGCTGCACTCTCTCCCCAATAGTCTCCAGATTTATTCTTCCCCTAACAATAAGTGATTCTTTTCATAGTATTTATTTGAGAGGGCGGGAGTGGGGACTGGGAAGAGGGGGAGGGAGAGGAAAGAGAGAAAGAGAGAGAGAGAGACAGAGAGAGAAACTCCCTTGTGCTCTTCACTCCTTAAAATTTCTGCAATGGTCAGGGCTGGGCCAGGCTGAAGCCAGGATCCAGGAACTGACTCAATCCAGGTCTCCCATGTGGTGTCAGAGACTTGAGTACTTAAGCCATCAACTGCTGCCTTTCTGAGTGCACAATAACATGACACTAGATTTGGAAGCAGGGCTGGGGCTCAAATCCAGACACTCCGATGTGGGATGCGAGTGTCTCGAGTGACATCTCAACTTCTACCTCACCACCTGCCCCAGTAGTGATTCTTTAGAAATAATTCAGTTCAAGCCGGCGCCGCGGCTCACTAGGCTAATCCTCCGCCTAGCGGTGCCGGCACACCGGGTTCTAGTCCCGGTCGGGGCGCCGGATTCTGTCCCGGTTGCCCCTCTTCCAGGCCAGCTCTCTGCTGTGGCCAGGGAGTGCAGTGGAGGATGGCCCAGGTGCTTGGGCCCTGCACCCCATGGGAGACCAGGAAAAGCACCTGGCTCCTGCCATCGGATCAGCGCGGTGCGCCGGCCGCAGCGCGCCGGCCGCGGCGGCCATTGGAGGGTGAACCAACGACAAAGGAAGACCTTTCTCTCTGTCTCTCTCTCTCACTGTCCACTCTGCCTGTCAAAAAAAAAAAAAATTCAGTTCATGTTATTATTCTGCTCCTGACTTTGGTATGGATTCCCATGCCTTAACAGGCCCTGCAGGATCTGATCCTGATCCTCCTTGACCTCATCGACTGCATACCCCCTCGCTCGCACTGTCCTCCCTGAGAGTGTTCCACTGCAGAAGGGAGGTGTTTGCTCAAGTGGGTCCTCCTTTTTGGAAAGCTCCTTTTCAGATAGCCACACGCGTCCCTCCTTCCCTCAGATGACTGTCCAGATGTTACCTTATCGCACAGGCCTTCCCTATTCACTCCATAAAAATTCTCCTCCTCGTTTTCTACTTGATTATTCTGCTGTGTTTTTCCCCATATGGTTACCCCCTCCTAAACATTTCTTATATTTATCTGTTTATTTCTGCCTTCCCTCACTGTAATGAAAAGCTTATTGAGGGCAGAAAGCCCCACTGGTCCTTAACCCTTATTAGTACAGGGCACAAGGTAGGAACTCCATGATTATTAGTAGAATAAATAAACATTTTATCCCTGTCGAACAAGTAAGACATTAAAGTAGTTTACTAAAGGTCATCCTGAAGGTAGCCAAGCTGAGATTCAATTTTCCAGGCTCCCCAAGCTTTGTTGCCTGTATTAGACCATTCAAGAATGTTTTAAGGCCTCTTAGGTGATTGAAAATAAATCATTTCTGATATCCAAAGCAAACAGAGATTTGAGGATGAAGACTATGCATCTGAGCTGGCTGGGTTTGTCATTTCAGTATATTTTTTCCTAGTGATTCTATTGGGTTTTGTTTCCTTGCCTCCAGTAGAGCACTAATAGGCCATGTTCCAGCTCAATACTTTCTGAGTTTTTTGAGCATAGATACACCATGTAAACAACAAGTGATGAAGACTGTGCCTATATGACAAGAGGCTCAGGGTTGTAACAACACAGTCAATCCGACCTTTAGTATTAGTATACATAACCATAATTCTATTGCTTGGCAATTGATGAAACCACACAGATTACTGTACCCAGCAGGACTTTACAAGCCACACACACTGAAAATGTCTCGTCCAGACACATCCATCATGGTAGTTTTCTCTCACTCACAGTGTTGCCTTTTGCAGTTTCAGTTACCCATGGTAAACTGCACCTCCAAAATATGAGGTGGAAAACTCTAGAACTATTTTAAACAACTTCTATTATACTATATTTTACAATTGTTCTGTACTATAGCTATTGCTGT